GGCCAGTTATGTCCGACTCTAGGGTTGTGCGCCCATCTCACTTAAGAGGCCGGGGCCAGCGCTGTCCGGAGACACTTCCGGGTCATGTGGCCAGCGTGACGAAGCTGCTCTGGCGAGCCAGCACCAGCGCAGCACACAGAAATGCCGTTTACCTTCCCGCTATAAAGCGGTACCTATTTATCTACTTGCACTTAAGAGTGCTTTCAAACTGCTAGGTGGGCAGGAGCTGGTACCGAACGATGGGAGCTCACCCCACCGCGGGGATTCGAACCGCCGACCATACGATCGGCAAGTCCTAGGCGCTGAGGTTTTACCCACAGCGCCACCCGCGTCCCCCCAAAGCAGTTTACAACACACTAAAACAGCAAATAAAACCATGTAGACTAAAATATGACTGAATAAAGTCAAATATACATTCAAAGCAACATTAACAGGAAAATAAGATGTTATATTAAAGATTTCAAAATAAACCATTGCAAAGGAGGTCAGCTACAGAATGCACATTTAGTGCAGCAAAGTTAACAAGAGAAGACAATATCTGCATAGAGTGCATCTGCTGTAGTTGCTGCCAGTCCTGCCAACCGTGGCTTGTTTCACCTGTTCCTGGGTACAAGGAAATGACCTCTGAACATTTGTTCTGATCAACCCCACTTTAAAATGTCCACATTGCAGGTTTATCCTCAGGAGCTGCTATGGAGTAATGAAGGAGGAGGTTGGAATTGGAGGTGAACTCTTGGTAGCCGTAGCACTTGTGGAGCTGAAGTGAACAGCTATGGGAGTGGAATTTGAGTGTAGTAGAAGGCACAGGGAAAGAGAAGGGGAAAGGCACGGACGCATCCTACACGTTGACTCAGGCGTTAAGTTCTATCTAGCTCCATGGCGTTGACATCTGAGTAAGCCTGCATAGGAAGGCCTGCAATATGCCTGGAACGGGACTGCTTTAACGGCCAGACTTGGGCAGAGCTAGGCCTGCCATGAGGCAGAGTGAAGTGTCCACCTAAGGCAGCTGGTTTTGTATGTCACAAAAGGAGATCAAGTTGTTTAATTTGTTATTGTTAACATTTTTCCTAGGAAGGGGAAAGATGCTTGTAAGATTTTCTGCCTCATGGCTGGCCTTTTTAGTTTGGGAAAATAACTTTATATATAACTTTATACCTACAGCAGAGATCTGACACATCCTTGCCATGCTCAATTCCCAGTTAGGGCTGGGAAGGATGCCACCCACCCAATCAGAACCACGAAGTGCTGCTTCCAGCCATTATCTACAATGCTGGGCTAGAATGACTACTGTAATTATCTGGTGCCGGGTGACAAAGTGTGCTGTTGGTACATAAGCAGTTCACACATCCAACCCCAAACTAAATCTAGGATTCTTTTGACACGGAGACATGAACGCCCTCCAGCCTTGGGCACCCTGAGAGCTAACGCACGGAGAGAATTGTCATATCAAGTGGGAATTGGCTTATTGTCAAAAGAGAAATTAGCACATTTGCCAAAATATTATCAAAATCCTAGGCTAAGGGCTCATCCAGAAAAGTAGCGGGGGAAGGGGTAGCACTTGGAAATGTGCCAAGAAAGCACAGGGGGAAAGGGGAGCGTGCAGGAGCCCAGAGTGCAGAAGTTTAAAACCAATGCAAGAATTAGAGCCCATACCTTTAAAGCAGAATCATGACTCCCCCCAGAGAATCCTGTTAAGGGCACTTACAGTTGTTAGGAGAGACCTATATTGCTTACAAAGTTACAATTCCTGGTCTTCCCCAAGAAAAGTGTTAGGTTGTGGGCGAACATATCAGACGACACAGCGATTCTTCCAAAGCAGCTCTTTATTGTAAGCTGGAACAGAACTAACTGAGAAGCTCAGTCAGCCTGCTTATATAGAGCTCCAGAACAATGTAAATGTTGCCATTTTCTAAAACTATCCAATCACTGAATGTCACTTTTCGATTCTTCATTTGCATACAAACTATCCAATCACTGAACGTCACATTTCGATCCTTCATTTGCATAACTATCTACAGTATCCCCCTGCTGGCCCAGGGTGAGAACTTCAGTACATAACAAAAAGAGTTTAATTGTTAAAATAACTCTGGAACTGTAGCTCTGAGTTGGGAATAGGGATCTCGGAAGAACTCTCAGCACCCTTAATAAACTACACTTCTCAGGATTATTTGGAGGGAAGAAATGGCTGTTAAAGTGACATGATGCTGCTTAAAAAATGTATACTGCAGATGGGCCTTATTTTTACCACCATTCCTTGGCTACACAGAGAAAAACCAGAATATGGGGGGTGAAGATTGTATGAATGGGGGGACTCCCGGGTTGGCGCCTCTGGCAATGGCGGATTTCCTCCGATCGGGAGGAATCCGCTCCGTGGAAAACAGGGTCTGAACCGCCACGGCGAGGCGGAGACCCATCAAAAACCACAGGCGGGAGAAGCCTGTGGACATGGGATTCGGCTGGCACCTTTGCGCCACCCCTACTCGCGGGGAACTCCGGTTTCGGGGATCCGGAGCGACGTGGGGTGAGTGGCGCGGTGCTTTGAATCGACTGCTTCTTTCACGGAGTGAAGCCGCATTGCTGTTGCCGGAGAGCGCTGACTTTTTCCTGTGGACAATTGGATTTTAAATAATTGCCCATGAGTAGAACAGAAAATTGGATTAAGAAATTTCTTTTAATTTGGCACTGAAGCGGGAAGGTCTAAACAGGAAGTCCGCCTTCTGCTTTTGTAGATAGATTAAAGCAAAGACACGGCAAGCTAGAGTTTAGAAAGTCGTCTGTAAAGGATCAATTTTCATCATTCAAAATTACTGAACCCCCCCTTGGAAGCAGGAGAAGAGGGGGAAACTTTTCTGGACTGTTTAAACCTGCAGAAGAGAGAGTAAAGAAAAGCAATTTTCCACCGTCTTGAACCTGGGAGCGGGGTGTCAGGACAGACGTCCTCGGGAAGTTCATTGACTATAGACAAACGTTTTTGACAGATAGTTAAAAGAAGAGAAACATATTGATTCCATTGTTCCCTTTCGCATCTAAAAGGAACAAAATATTGACAAAATATCGGAAAAAGGAAACTTTGTTGTTAGATCTGCTTTTTTTAAAAAAAGAGATGGATACAAATACAAGCTTTTTCCCCTAGAGGGAGCTTGCGAAACTGTTATTAAATCTGAACTGGGGAGCTTTGCAGCTGCAATAGATTAAGATCGTGGGACCAGACTCTGACCTTGAACAAGAATGTACTCGGAGGCTCTGGTGCTTGCCTTTTGCAAGACAAGTGCTTTATTGGAACAGTTACATGAGAAGATGGATTTGATGACTGTTGTGATCGGAAATTTTGGACAGGCAGTGGGTACCTATATAGAACCCACTCAGGAATTAATCCAGGAGTGTGCTCTGACAGATCAGATGAGGGAGGAGGTTGTTGCTGGACCTTGGGAGGCAGAGATGGAGGGAACTGTGGCCCAGCAGGAACATGAGTTGTTGGATTTGACGAATGAACCTGGAAAAAGCCAGATTTGGAGAGATAGAGTCTTGTTTGGCTTGGAGATGGGGGGCTGGATAGACCCCCCTATGCAGGGATGTTTTGACCTTTCAAGTCTGGCTTTGGGCTGGGAGGAGTTCGGAGTTGTGGGGGCCCTTAACTTTGGAGGGACCTTGAAACATGCTTTTAAATACCACATGGAGTTCAGTGTTGACTATGGAAAAGGGGCTGATCTGTCGAGAAGGGACAAAAATATTGTCAAGCTGGAGTCTCCACGAGTGAAAGGAGCAGAAGACAAAGTAAAGTACAGGTATAAATATGAAGAAGACCTGCGGAAGGGACATGGAAGAGATTTAAGAGCCTCGGACATAAGGTCACCAGGTTGATGAACTAGATGGATGGGATAGAAAGGACTGACGAAACCTGAGACCAGGAGGAATAGACATTGGATGAAGATTGGAAGAAAGTTTTTAAAAAATTATTTAGGAAAGTTTTGTAAAATTAATGAGTATTAGAAAAATGTTGGAACGAAATTATTTGGCTTTAGCAGAAATGTTAAAAAGAATTATGTAAGAATATGTTATGGTTATGAGAAATTGGTATAAATAAGATTTAAGTTTTAAGTTTTAGGGTTCTTTATGGTAAGATAAGGTTAAAATAGATTAAGGTAAATTAATGACAGAATATTATGAAAGATGGAAAGGATTTGCTGAGATAATTAACAACTAGAATACAAAAAAGGGAGGTGCGAGGAGGTCGATGAAATAAGGTAATGACAGTTAAGGATTTGGAAATATTGGATCTGTTTTTAAATTTTTTGTTTATCTTTGCTTTTTGATTTTGATGTATTATGTGTTTTGCTTTTGCTTTTTGACTTTGATTTTTATTGATTTGTATTGTTTAATTGTTACTTGTTTTTTCCTTCTTTTTTTCTTTGTTTCTTTGTAATCTTAAAATTCTCAATAAATATCACTTAAAAAAAAAAAAGATTGTATGAATGGGGTAGGGATGAGATTTGGCTGAAGGGGGGAAGGTGATACATGAAGGGTGAAAATGGTGCCAACTTTAGGGCTGCCACCCGTCCCTTCTAATACAGAATCGTCCCGTGTTTGAAAATAAAATGCTGTGTCCCATACCCATTTAATATGAGATGCAGTTTGTCCCGTACATGCAACCACCATTTTAGGCATGACAGATATGTGCACAATTGTGCACACAGTGCCAAACACACAGTGCCAAACCCAGAAGTGACCCACAAACATCAAAAAGGACATCACTAAAAGGGTGGGGCAGGAGCAAAGCAGGCCGTTTCCATTTCACGTGATTTCATGCAAGTGCACAATGACCTAGAACGCAACCCCCACACAAATCGAGGGTTCCCTGTATTTTGCCTCCCTTCCCTCTTGCTCTCCCTCTCCCTGGCCCTCTCAGGTATTTCTGCCCTGCTCTTCTTCCACCTCCGTTGTCCCAGCCACAGCACCATTGGCGGGCAGGGCGTGGGAGAGGGAGCGGAAGAGCGGGTGGCATGTCGCGGGGTGAAGCGGCTGCTGGAGGTGAAGTGTGCAAGGTAGAAGGAAACGTTCTTGTGACAGGAGGTTTCTTGGCTGTGCAAGGACTCATTGCTAGTACAGTGAAAAGCATCACCAACTTGTGCTTGTGTTGGGCTTGAAAATTAACATAAAAACAAATCCTGTATTCCAGACATGTTTAACACTTCTAGAAAGAACCTGGTGTTCTTTTGTTTCTTTAAATTTACAAATCCCTGAATCATAGAATTGTAGAGTTGGAAGGGACCCTGAGGGTCATTTAATGCAGCGTTTCTCAACCTTTTTCCAACCCTGGCTCCCTTTGCACCTTGTTTCCTTCCTGTGACCCCCTGTCCTACCTGTAGAAAGGTAGCAATTTCAATGTTTTGTTTGTAAACAGAACATGTTTTAATTTTAATTTTTATAATTTACACAAAACACAATTACATAAAAAAAAAATTCTTTAAGTATTTCTCTATCAATGTGACCCTTGTGCTTGATGACCAGAAACAAGCTTTTTATATCTATTGCTGTGAGGAATAACCAAAGATCATCTCTGTCCGGTATGTTAAGGTGATTCCAGGTTAGGCTGAGTAAATAATTCACACAACTGAGACCTGAATCTACCAAAGACAAAGTAAGAAATGCCATGAAAACAGTTTTGCTTGATCATTTCTCACTTCCCTCTGTGGTCCCCTGGTCTCGTGCCATGGCCCCCCATTTACACAATTTTCACCTGAGGCCCCTGGGGGCCCCCGGTTGAGAAATGCCAATCTAGTCCAACCCCATCCAATGCAGGAGTCTCAAGTAAAGCATCCCTGGCAGATGATGGCAGGTGTTTGTGTGAAAGAAGATATTGAGTTTACCAGGTGCTCTTGCAACTGCTTATCTTCTTTTTATGACAGTGAATGAGTGTTACAAAATCTCGCATGGTGCCAACCAGTAAGAGTTTGTCTAAATGTTTGGAAATAGCTTCTAGAATGCATCTCTTTCTGCCATCCAGGTGAGATGAGTAAAAGAGATTAACCTCTTTTAAAGCTCTCCTGGCAAGAGGCCCAGGCCATTAGTAATTGTGGGGAGGGGAGGCAGAGGCTGAGGTAATCATATCTTAGTTTAACACAGTCTTCCTCACCCTCGGCCCTCCCGATGTTTTTGGTCTACAACTCGCATGATCCCTAGCTAGCAGGACCAGTGGTCAGGGATGAGGGGAATTGTAGTCTCAAAAACATCTGGAGGGCTGAGATTGAGGAAGCCTGGTTTAACACAGCTAAAAGAAATCTGATGTGCTTTTGTATCTTTAAATCTACAAATGAGGCAGAATGACAGATATATTTACAGTGATGCTATGAATTCATTGGGTGCTCTTGCAACTCAGCTTGCTCGGAACATGGGGTCCTGTAATGGTGTCCCACTTGTGGTCTCTTCAGCCCAAAATTGAAACTACCTTCTGAGGTACACAATATTTTTAGAGGTGTTTCAAAGCAGTAGCTTCCTATTTTCCTAGAGCAATGGTTTCCAAAGCTCCCCCTCCCCCTGGCATGGACCACTTGAAAATTGCTGGGAGTCTTGGCAGACCATGTAATGGTTTTTCTGCCTGTTATGCCAATTGTAATGGGTTGTGCTAGATGCTGCATGGTTTTAATTTTATTTGTATGGCTTCCATTATTTCTTTTATTGTATTTTATTGTGTTACAATTTGAATACTGTACTGTAGAAGTCAAACTGCAATAAATAAAAAGCAATAGAAGAAATAATAGAAGCCATACAAATACCATTAAAAATCAGTATGAATATTTAATGCAATTGATGTGTCTGTTGGGTTTTACATCTTAATTCTAGCCTCCCGTTAACTTTATTGGATAAAAGAAATAAAAGAATGGCAATAGCTTATTAATGAATTTATCTGGGACAGGCTTCCTCAACCTCGGTCCTCCAGATGTTTTGAGACTACAATTCCCATCACGCCTGATCACTGGTCCTGCTAGCTAGGAATCGTGGGAGTTGTAGGCCAAAAACATCTGGAGGGCCAAGGTTGAGGAAGACTGATCTGGCACAATAAAAAACCACAGCTGAGTGCAGATACAGTGACAGACCTATTAGAACAGGCTTTCTCAAACTTGGCCCTCCAGATGTTTTTTGGCCTACAACTCCCATGATCCCTAGCTAGCAGGACCAGCGGTCAGGGATGATGGGAATTGTAGTCTCAAAACATCAGGAGGGCTGAGGTTGAGGAAGCCTGTATTAGAAAATCTACAGATCTCTTTATTCTGGCCTTTGACACCTAAGATGTATGTTTTCAGGGTCAACCATATTCCTGCAATTGTGATCTGTTCCAAGTGTTTTTAATTTTGAATTGCTGCAACACAACCTGGGACCTGCTAGTGAAGGATGGGTAATAATAATTTTAGAAAACAGAAAAGGGGTTCTGGTTGTACTGATCCTCACCTTCCAGGCAGACCCCCAGGCTCTAAGAACGATGGAGCAGCTGCTGCACCCACTACTCTTGCTAGACCACCTGCATGAAGCTTGCAAACCATGGGTGGTCCATGGATCAGCTTGGGAACACCTGTCCTGAGTACTGCACAGCTTGATTTGGCAGAGGGCTGTAAGGATAAATGTGACTCTACTTTTAAGGGCACCTCCCATATTTAGCTGAGGTTAGGCCCAACCGAGCGGGCAGTGCGAGAAGCCAGAGTGAAGTACCACCTAAAGGATATTAGACCTGTTCGTACTTAGTTCTTTAACAAAAGCTTTGGCCTAATCCTCATTAAAAGAGAACATTACAGGGACATTGACTGTTCCACCTCTGGCAGAAAAATGTCCTGGACTGGGCTTGGGCTTATCTGCTTGTGCAGACAGATGGGAGTTTTGTCCCAAGGTCTGCTGTCCTCCTTTGCACCTTCCAAAACGCTGTTCTGGAGAATCCCCCAGCCCTCTGAAAACCAGTTTGCAGAAGCAGCAGACAAGGAAACCAGAAACACCTTGCCCCTGTGTAAGCAGAAAAACCTTCCCTTTAGGCAGACCTTCCTTAGGATCCAAGCCTCCAGAACTCTAAAAGGTTCTGCTGCACCTATTCAGTCCAAACATTTCACTGATAAGTACGGTTCTGTTTTTGCCTAGTCACCACAGCTGACCTCGGGGAAGCAGCTTCTCTCTTATCCCTCCTGTAGTATAAGAGAGCCCCTTCTGTGCAGCTGAGTGAAAGTGGCAACTGCCTTATCCCTGTTTACATCTTAGCAGCACAAGCTTACTCATTCACAGCAGAAAGTTCAAGGCCCACATGCCTATACTTGTAGTCTGAGGCACTAAAAGGACACTCACCAAAAAACCCTCTAGCGTGCAGATATTAACACTGATCAAACTCACCGCTACTGAAAAAAGGATCCCAGCAAAACAAGAATATGTGCAACTTGATGTGCTGTGTGAACTTTATGTAGGGTAAAGGTCACAGCTGTTCAGCAAGCACAAAAGGGGGAGCAAATGGCTCAAAGCCCCAACTGGGCTCCCTGTTGTGTACAGATCCATTTTGTTTTTCATTCATTTTATACTACTGTCTATTTAAACATTCACATTTTATTTGTCTAACGATTATCAGCAGGCCACTTAACAGGAGTGTACAGTGAAGAGAAAATATTTATAATTACAATGTGTTGAGGTAGTAATATAGGGACTTTTATTTATGCTGAAATAAATACAGTAATTTGGAATTGGTTATCAAAGCAAATATTAGGCAAGATCAAGAAATGCTCAGCTGTCAACAGCAACATTAGAGCGTCAGTGGGATGAAGCCTTTTTCAAACAACACTTTCAAAAGACATCCGGCCTGTTGAGGGGGTCCTAGGCTAGGCACTGCTATGGCACAATTATGATTCCCGTGGGCACAGCCAGACCACCTCAGTAAATAAGACACCACTAAAACTGCATTTCTGACCAATCACAAGAACTGGAACAATAAGAGGTCCTTGGATAATTTACAATAATGTATTAAATCCAAAATGAAATTTCTGATCCCACTAAATTAGCAAGACTAGCCGTGCTCAAGAAAAAGTCTCTAAGCGCCATGCATGCCCTTTAATATGTACTGTATATATCTTTTGAAATATTTGATGGAAGCTGATCTCCTTATTATGGGTATCTTGTTTTTTACTCCCAGGATTAGGCTGGCATGTAAATGTGTGGAGAGAAATGAGGGGGGAGGGCACGGTGGACCTGCAAGGGGAGTTTGCATAAGCCGGCAGTTGTGCAGATTCCCCGGGCACCACGCAGTTTGCCGACAAGTAAGCAAGTGTGTGAATGTGCAGGGATGCCTGGGGAATGTCCCAAGGAGCACGCAGGGCTGCTCTGGGGTTTTCTGGTTCTCCTCGCGAAGGGGGAGGGAGATTTCGCGGGAGTTCGCAGCTGTTTTCGGCTGCCTTCCATCCCTCCCTTTGCGCTGCAGTCCGGGCACCACTCGGGGCCTACTTCCGAGGAGACGGGGCTGCGCCAGCAGGCGCGGAAGGGGGAATCCCTCTCAGGGCGGCGGCGGCGGCGGCGCCTCGAAGCGCAGCGACCCCGGCCGGGGGAGGGGGAGGGGCGGCGCGGGGCGGGGCCTGGTGACGTGTGGCCTTCGTCATCGAGCTCGCGCGCCCCCGCCCGCCTCCCTCGAAGCGCCTGGGCTGCCGACGCGCGCGCGCGCGCCCTCCTCCCTCCCTCCCTCCCTCCCTGCCTGGCTCGCTCGCTCGGTGGCGGTTTGTGCGCGCGAGGCGCTCTCCAGGCTCCTCCGGCCCGAGGCTGGTGGCGGCGGCGGCGGGGCAGAGGCAGCACCGGCGGCAGCAGCAGCAGCGCCGCCCTTCGCCCTCCCAGCGCGGCCGGGAAGCAGCTGCTCCCCCCCCCGCCCGCCCGGCAGCGGCTCCTCCTCCTCCGCCTCCTCCTCCTCCCGCTGCTGCTGCTGCTGCTTCAGGAACAAAGGGAGGAAGCGGCGGCGGCGGCGGCGGGGCTGTCTTCCCGCCCGAGCCCGGGATAGCGGCGGCGGCGGCGGCAGCGGCCTCCTCCTGCTCCTGGTTTCCGCGTCTTTGTCCTCTGGCTCGGAGTCTGGCCGGGAGCCTCGAGGCGGGTGAGTCGCCCTTCCTTCCTTCCCTCCCTCTCGGGGGGGGGGGGCTACGGACCCCTTTCTGCCCCCCCCCCGGCGAGGGGGCTGGGTGTCTCCGCGTCCCCCCCGCGCCACGGAGGCGGCGGCGGACAAAGGGCCGCGCAGGGGCGGCCGGGCTTCGGCTCTTCGGGGGGGGGGGGAGAGAGAAAGAGCTTTCCCCGGAAAGGGGCCTCCTTCGCGACCACCGCCCCAACAGCCAGGCGAGAGAGAGGGGGGGCTGGCAGAAGACCCTCGGAGGGGGGGGAAGGAGGCAGACAAAGAGCTGGCCGGGGGGGGGACCAGGCGGCTCCTCTCCCGCCCCCCCCCCCCGGACAGAGGCGGCTTCCTGGGCCCCGTGGGCCGCCTGGCCTGGCTTTCCTCCTGGGCTGGGCCTGGCCGTGACTCAGGGATTCTCCGGCAGGCCTCTCGCCGCCGCGCCCCCCCCCCGCCTCCCTCGGCGCTTCCTCTCTCCTCCTCCTCCGGCAGCAGCAGCGGCTCCCTTCCCTTTGTTTGGTCCCCCCCCCCCCCGCGCCCGCTTCTTCAGGCCTCAGGCCTAGTTTCCCCCGCTGTTCCATTGTGTTTCCACAGAGGAGTTCTCCTTTTCTGCCCCCTTCCTAATGAAATTGCATCTAAAAGAAGGAAACCTTGATAAACCTAGTCGCGGTTTGTAAGCTTTGCTTAAACTAAAACTGTTAGTGTCGTGAAGCCTCGGGGCCTTGATGGTAGACGGGGCACGTTCCCCACGTTAGGCGCACGAATGCCGCACGGCGTGTCTGTAGCCGCGGCTTTGGAGCAGCATTGGAACTAACATGGACGGAGTTCTCTCGAGGCAAGCCGTGCAGTTGAGCAAGCGCAGCTTTCTTGAGCTGGAGAGCGGTAACCCGAATAAGCATATTTTAGGAGGAACCATCTGGTGCATGCAGTTTGTAGGGTGTGCTCTGGAGTGACACAATTGCAGTCATCTGGGCCATTTAACTGTTCTTGCTACTCTTGCTCAGGGCTAAAATCCCTGATAAATTCTCGATATAGTTATCAGCCTGACATGTTTCTCTTCATCGAGTGTCCTTTGTTAAGCTGCTTCTATAGTTTCCTGTTGGTACATTTTTGCTGCTTCAGTTCTGTGGGCTGTACAGGAGCTGGGCAGCCTTTGGAGATATAAATAGAAGCTGATTTCAGAGGCCCCTGTTGACGAGCTTATGCCTGAGCCTCCAGCTCAGCCTGTCACATTGCAGCCTTGTGACAAGCGGAAGCTAATGCACTCACCATGTGACTTGGGCTTCGGAGAAATATTAAAGCAAGCAGACGACGTGCATGTGATAGTATTCGAACCCAGTATTCCAGTAAAAAAGCTAAAGGTCTAAACAACGGTAGCTAGCTTAAAATTATGAAATTCATACCCGATAACAAACATTGTTTTTCTGTAAAGATTTGTTTGGCTTGCCATGCTAGTCATTTGCAGGTGCAAACTTCTTTGATACTGATGATGTCATTCTAGGGCTTTTTAATTGGATGGTGCAAAATTTACATGAAACTAGAAAAATGAAAATGGCACAGCTTTGTTTTTACAGATAAGTTTTACATAGCTTACGGTGTCGATTTTACATTTGTTTTGGAAAAACAGGTCAAATTTGTGACCACATATTCTCCCAAACAAATGTTTCTTTATAAATTACAAGCTGATTTTAGTGAGTTAGGGTGGACTTTATGGTGAAGGTGTGCCTGAAGTCTGCCTTGTGATATTTATTCAGCAAAAATTATCTACTGTTTTGTGAAACAGGCCCTCTTTTTCTGTCCCCCTTGAGCATATCTTCTAAAATGCTATATTATAACAATTGTGGAAAAGTGACCCACTCGTATGTATGGTACAGGACTCTTCAGGCCTTTTAGAACAAGGATAAACTCTGAAGCCATTCTCAGTTGATTTTCTTAAAGATGCTTGTGCAGAAAAAACATGATAATTCAGGATATGTAAATTCAAGCTTTAGAAGTTTCATACTGTTTAAAATGTATACATGAAAAATCTTCACAGGGCATATTTGCATTTTTATTCATTTCACAGTTTTATATGCTGCCTTTCCATTGTTGACGTCTTCGAATGCTTTTCTTTCTAGTAGACCATTATTACACGTTACAATCCAATTAATGTAGTGCCATGGGAACAGAGGTTATGGATCCTATATTTTTATATCAGTCTTGCATAGCTTATATGGTAATGAAGTTGAAGTGTTTATGTTGCTAAAACATGACCCGTGTCATGCACAGATGAGGCGGCCTTTTCAAGCAGGAAATTTTGTTCAAGTTTGTTTTGATAGTCACGGTATTTTGCTGAGTTGCTGTAAAATGAGTGGCTTGTTTTAATGAATATATTAAGCAGGACATCTTCCAAAAAGCCTGCTTCAAGTGAAACTCTTCAGCTTAATAGCTTTTGTCTTATTAAAATAGTAGATGATTTTGTATAAAATAATTTAAACACATGGTGTTCTCAGTTAGCATGGGGTTGCGTTGGTTGCGGGCCCAAGTTCTCAGGTCCTGTTGAGCTAGTCTACCAAGAATAGTGCTCCATCCTTATCTCCATAATTTGTTTTTACTATACAAAGCGGTGTGTCTCTTGAGCCTAAAAGTACTCCCCATGCTGTGAGATCTATTGATAGGCAATAACCAGAACAGGCATGAATGGAGAAGCATAAGACTTTTCTGCTTTATTGAATAGACTTGAAGATTTAAAATCACTATGAAAGGTTCAGGACACATTTGTGTCCCTTTGAGTGACAAATCACAGTCCAGGGTTTTATGATTAGCATATGTTGGTCTGCCTTCTCCACAGGAATAAAGGAAAACAGAACCACAAACTATTTTGATAGTTCGTATATTTTGCTTCTAGTGTTGTTCTTGTTGCATCCCACTCCACAGATGGGGCAGGTAGAGCAAAACGGAGGAATCCTAGAGTGGGAAGGGACCTGAAGAGTCATCTAGTCCAGGCATGGCCAGATTTGTCCCTCCAGCTGTTTTGGGACTACAACTCCCATCATTTTTTAAAAAAATAATATTCATTATTTTTCCAAAAACACTAAAAAAAGAAGAAAAAAAGAAAAACAATACGATACAACACATCAAATTAACAAAACAAGACAAAGACAATAAAATAAATCAAACAATTTCATTATGCCATCTTTCATTCACTTATTTCCACAACCTCCTCACACCTCCCTTTTTGTATTCCACTTCTGTTAATTATTTCAGCAATTCCTTTCCATCTTCCTCTGTTTTCTATCCTATAATTATCTTAACTCATTCTAACCTTATTTTTTCCTTTAATACTCTATTAACCTATCTGTACTTAATTCCTTATAATATTTCTACTAAAGCCATATAACTTCATTTCAACATTTTTCTAACATTCATTAATTTTACAATATTTCTGTAGATAGTCTTTAAACTTTTTCCAATCTTCTTCCACCAACTCCTCTCCCTGGTCTCGGATTCTGCCCGTCATTTCCGCCAGTTCCATGTAGTCCATCAACTTCATCTGCCATTCTTCCTGGGTGGGCAAATCTTGTGTCTTCCAGTACTTTGCGATGAGTATTCTTGCTGCTGTTGTTGCGTACATAAAAAAAGTTCTATCCTTCTTTGGCACCAATTGGCCGACCATGCCCAGGAGAAAGGCCTCTGGTTTCTTCAAGAAGGTATATTTAAATACCTTTTTCATTTCATTATAAATCATCTCCCAGAATGTCTTAATCCTTGGGCACGTCCACCAAAGGTGAAAGAATGTGCCTTCAGTCTCATTACATTTCCAACATTTATTTTCAGGCAAATGGTAAATTTTTGCAAGCTTGACTGGTGTCATGTACCACCTATAAATCATTTTCATTAAGTTTTCTCTTAGGGCATTACATGCCGTAAATTTCATACCTGTGGTCCATAACTGTTCCCAGTCAGCCATCATTATATTATGTCCAACATCTTGTGCCCATTTAATCATAGCTGATTTCACCGTTTCATCCTGAGTGTTCCATTTCAACAGCAAGTTATACATTTTTGACAAATTCTTAATTTTGGAATCTAGCAATTCTGTTTCCAATTTTGATTTTTCCACCTGGAAACCAACTTTTTTGTCCAAATTATATGCCTCCATTATTTGGTAATAATGGAGCCAATCTCGCACTTTATTTTTCAATTTTTCAAAGCTCTGCATACAAATCCCATCATCCCTAGCTAACCGGACAAATGGTCAGGGATGATGGGAATTGTAGTCCCGAAACAGCTGGAGGGCCAAGTCTGGCCATGCCTGATCTAGTCCAATGCTCTGCAGTTGTAGGAGCCACAGTTAAAGACAGATAGAATGTTTCCACACTCCAGTAAAGATGGCTGGATCAGGACCCTTAAGTCTAAATCAAAGGAGCATAATTGCAGTGGGTTGGACTGGATGACCTTTGAGATGATCCTTGTGGATGTGGTCTTTTCAGCACCGAATGACTGTCAGTGGAACATACATTTAGATTCACCCCTGCCATATGCTTACTTGAAAGCAGTGCATTGTGGGCAGGTTGCATTGATGCCTGTATGCACTTAACATTGACCCTCAGGCGTCTAAGCTATGAGGCAACATTTTTTCTGTAGTAAAGCAATTCAGGTGAGGTTAATTTGGGACTGGAGAATATGAATCCAGTCTTCCCTCTCCTTTTTAGGCCCTAGGCTGAAAATAATCAATAGGCAAGCTACTTACCTCTCTTCAGCTTCAACAGTTGAGGTGGCATTCCTGCTTATTCCTGCCAATTTGACTTACAAGATGAAGGAATCACACAGGTGTAGCTCACAATCCTGTCTGCATTTGGGGGGAAGGCGGTATTTTTTCACAAAGTTCAAGTGGAAACAGGCTTTTGCCTCATACCTCACTTACTCTGTTTGGAGTGGTTTCCTTTAGTCCTGTCCCTTTTCCTGTTATGGTTGCCTGTGCTTATACACAGAGAATGACCACTGTGGAAATATGGCTATGTGATGTTATCTTATGTAATGGCTAGTTCATGTGAATTATGATCTTATAGCAACTTCTAAAGCAGTTTGTGTGTGTGTTTATTTACAGCACAAGATGGCTCAGGAGACCAACCAGACCCCAGGGCCCATGCTGTGTAGCACAGGATGTGGATTTTATGGGAATCCTAGAACTAACGGAATGTGTTCTGTCTGCTATAAAGAACATCTTCAAAGACAGCAAAATAGTGGCCGAATCAGTCCAATGGGTATGTGCTGGAGGAACATAATATAACTGAAATGCTAGCTGTGAATACTGTCACATTTCAGATATAAACATTTAAGTGAACATTTGTACTATTCTAGTAACTTTGAAGCATTTTTGTGTATAAGCCAAATTAACTCATTAAAAAGACTTCCAAGTATTTAACAGCTGTAGTATCTACATATTACGAAGTTTACATTTCTAATCTATGCTTATATTTTCCCCCTTCATACAGGAACATCAAGTGGTTCCAACAGTCCTACCTCAGACTCTGCATCTGTACAGAGAGCAGATACTAGTTTAAACAACTGTGAAGGTGCTGCTGGCAGCACATCTGACAAATCAAGGTAAGAGCAGTGTAGAGCCTGATAGTGAAATGAAATAATTCTGGGAGAGTATGTAAGGGACACTCTAAGCCTATTACTGTTATAACAGTTTCTGCTACAGCTAGTTTGTAGGGGAAATAACTGCAGAGTTTATTATTTCTGCAGTCAAACGGCTCTGAGCTTTACAATGAGGGAATTGATGTAAATGCCTTAGTTTGCTATAAGGTTAGATTACAAGGACACTTAGATATTACAGTCTATACATCAAACTTTATCACCAGTGAGTTCAGTCATAGTTGTCAAAGAAGAGCCCAGGGTTTTTAAGTTTTAGCTTTATAAGATGTTAGTCTTCCTAATAGCACTAACAGATTGCTCTCATTTCACTGAATGCAAGCAGAAATGTGCCTGTTGCCGCCTTGCCTGTAACACAGCAAATGACAGAAATGAGCATTTCAAGAGAGGAGAAAGTAACTCCGAAAACAGAAACAACAGAGCCAGGTATGCCTTTTTAAAAGTCGCTTAAGTGCAGCTAGTTCAGTGGGACCTGGCAGGTGTAGACGTTTGGTAACCAATGAGAAAAACTATGCCATATTCTCTTTAGTATTTGGTTCTTTAGCATTAAAAGGCAAAATTGCAAAGTAAAAGATTTATCATCCTTAGATCAATTTGTTCACTGTTTGTAAGAGTTCATCCAACAGTTATTATAAGTAGATTAATGTCGCTAGTCCCTTCAGCAAAAATGAATTGAGTAGTGAGAATGTGCTATTCTTTTTTTATCTAAAGAAAACCATACAAAATGGTTGGCATTTTTTCCCTTAAGCATTTTGAATGAATTCTTTAATGTGCTGCAGTTCACCAGTCTTTACAACTTTCAATAGTTACTTTAGATCACTGGAGAAATCCAACAATCTTCCAAATAAGGTTGGGTTTTTTTTAAGTATCTTTGTTTTTTATATCCCTATTTTATATCTGTTTTGTATACCAACTTCACTGAAATGATCATTTCTGAATATAATATACCTCCATGCATTGTTATTCAGGCCTTTTTAAAGACTTGACATTTTGAAGTAACTTCTGGTACTTGTAAAGTGTTTATGAAATATTTCCTAGATTTGAATAAGTTCACAAGGTTGAAATCCATAGAGCATTTTGCATGAGTGTTTTTGTATTAATTTGCATTCAATATTCCCACTATTGAATGTTCTGGTGCTGAAGTCATAATCGATGGGTATATATTTACATTAATTGTTTGGATGAACTCTTCTTATAATAGGCTTTTAAAAGTTGTTTTTAGTAATGTATTTTTGCTATATGGTTTTGTTTGAACGCTTTGATATTAGGATGGTTTGATTCTTTTGCCAATATTTCTTGCTGGTGTATAGTATCATAAAATGTAATTCTAAATAAGGTGAATTTGGACATGGGATTCATTTAGAAGTAAGTGAAAAGGCCAGCCCAACAGGTACAGCCTTAATGATGAACAGCTTTATACATCAGGGGACCTTTTTATGTATATTCCTGATAAATGTGAAGGTAGACGGCAAGCTGAAAGATATTTAAATAGCACAATGATTTCTATATTTCTTTGAATCAAGTAGCATACATATTAATGTTCAGAAACTAGGTGGGAGTATATAAAATGATAGAATATGCTATGGCCTATGTATCATGTGTGTTGTTCCACCCATCTTCCACAGACGTGTCTTTTAGTAAGCTTAATAAATCTGTAGTGTAAGTAAACAGATAATGCATTAAATGAAAGGGTGTTTTTTAACTGCATAGATTAGGTAAAAAAGAAAAAGTAGTAGTAGTATGATAGCGTTAGCTCTTCATTTATGATGATAGTGCAGCAACACTGAATACTGTGTGCACAGAAAGATGGAAACATACCACACTAAGGTGTTGAGCACCCAGAAATACCTTCCTAGTTCTCTGGAGCAGCTATGGGCTGATGCAGATTCTGTTTGAAGGTGAGGGTGATTATAGGGGAGAAAATAGGAAAGAGGAACCTCCAAGGTACATCCTTTCAGCCAATGTATGTTTTTTGTGGTGGCAAGAGTAGTAGTTTGCTGAAAGTTTGAGTGAGACCATAAAATATCCATTCCGAAACCTGCATCTTTACTCTTGGTAATCTCCAGCACACAAGTCTTCTACAATCCATTCCTTGGGAACCAGCCCAGAAGGTTATGGGCTCTACTTGGTGCTTCTATCAAGACTGAATTGCTTGAATCCTAAACTAACTTGAGAAATTTAACTTAATGGAATGAAGCTTTACTTCCCCCCCCCCCCCCACACACCGCCCCTGAAAAAGTCTCTGAAGGGGAGGCGTCCTGAATAATATGGAAGGGTACAGAGGACTTATGGAAAAGATGAGGACTGTGGCAACTTAGAAGCCACTGCCCCACAAAAGGTGGGGAACCCCCCAGGGAAGCTTTTCATGGGTCATAGGTTGCTATAGGCAGAAGGGGGGGGGGGAGAACTTTGTGTTTTCAGGTTAACATAATAAGAGAACCATTCTAATGATTTCTTTACTACAAAAAGGAGACAGGGAGGATGAAGGAGTAGGTGCTTCCAAAAATTAATTCAGCATCTCTTTCTATAAATAAACTACAACACTGGGGTGTGTAAAGAAGAGAATTTAAAATGTGGAGATGAAAGCAGTTTAGAATTACAGTATACCACGTCTAATCAACTTTGGCCGGTTTTATTCTTTTCAGTTGTTACTCAACCCAGTCCTACAGTTAGTCAGCCTAGTACATCTCAGAATGAAGAGAAAACACCTGAAATGCCTAAACCAAAGAAGAACAGATGTTTTATGTGCAGAAAGAAGGTTGGCCTTACAGGTATGCTATTAGACACTGCATTATCCACACTTATCCAGTCTTAAATATAGTTACTGCTGAGGACTTGCATACTTTGAAACTTTGTGACACTTTGAAATGGCACAGATGTATGTATGTACGGGAGTTCAGTTTTTTATTCCACATGACGAAACCTAGGTCTTCACCGAACAGGACTTTATGCTGTTTTTGTGCTTTTACAGGGTTTGATTGCCGATGTGGAAATCTGTTTTGTGGACTTCACCGTTACTCTGACAAGCACAACTGCCCATATGATTACAAAGCAGAAGCTGCAGCAAAAATCAGAAAAGAGAATCCAGTTGTTGTGGCCGAAAAAATCCAGAGAATATAAACTAACCTACTCGGTGAAAAGACTGACTTTCTTTGTTTTTATTTTAAAATATCCTAGGAAAACATTAAAGAGCAGATGCATGGCCATTTTCCTTTGATGTTCTCCAGAGTTTTACTTTAGTCTATCTTATTGATTGATATTTTAGGATGTTGTGGGTGTTACAGGCAGAATTGGATAGATACAGCCCTTTAAAATGTGTACATGCCCTCCCCAAAATGAATTGAAAGAGTAAGACCTGCACTGGAAGACAGACATGCACAAAAGACAAGAGTTGTCTAGTTCACATGTGCCAAACAGATGCATAAAATCTGCATGTTTGCAGCAGATTTGCCTTTTGGGAATGTAATTGAGGTATATCATCCTTGGATAGTGCTACGTGCCTGCTTGATTAAATTATACACCAGGAAAAAATGAGTCTACTTTTACCATAGTTAAACTTTGTCCTCTTTAATTTCCACAATTCATTGTTTTGAAACTGAGCTGCAGAGGAGCCACTTTCTAAAGAGAATGGGCGTTCAGGTGCCATAAGCTGCAGTTTAAGGTTACCTACTGAATGAAACCAAGAAATTTGAGTCTGAACAGTGCAATCCTTGGAACTGATGAAAATTGCTCAACTATTAAAACTGGTTCCCAAAGGAAACTTCATTTTCAGAACTTTTTGAACTAGCCTACAACAGAAGATTTGTCTGCTTCTTACTCTTTATGTAGCTGATAAGTTTGTGTAGCACAAAACCACAAGACTGTTTTACAGTTTACAAACAAAATGCTACATTTAAAAAATAAACATAACCACAGCAGCTCTGTCAAGTAACATGCATCTGATGAACCTAGTTTGCAAATGTATTCAAGCATTTAATTTGTCATATACATCTTAAGTTGAATGTGTTCTGGGTTCAAAAGAACGTTAGCTTTTAATTTTTATAGTTTTCAAATGTAGTGAGATTGCACCATTTTGCATGGAAAAATCATACCCAATATGGCTGCTGTAGACTTTAAGTGGTACCTGGAACCACTCTGAGGGCTGCTTTATTATTTTAATAGTACTTGGGTGTAGGACTATAGTGTTCTTGGGTGTATTGCATGGGCTGCATTATCTACAGCATTGTACAATAACAACTCTAGAAAAGGCAGTATACTTCACTGATGCTTGTCTGGTAATATCACTTCTGTGTTATAATGGAAGGTTTTTGTGATGTATGAAACTTGTGTTTTTTTATATAAACAAGTACAGTTTAGAGTAGTGTAGTGGTAATGCCTGTCCTCATCTGTAAATAGTTGTGTATACACAGGGCACTACTTCTGACTTCTATTGCAGTGTTCAGTCTTAGTTTTTCTTCATTAAAAGCATCAGGTTTTGTTTTAAACTTTGTCCTCAGTTGAGTTATTAGATATACAAATGTGTACAGATAGTTCATATTTATGTATTGCACATAATCATGCTACCCGGCATCTATGCTATATTGTATTATGTAAATAATAAAATCATGTACAGAGGGATATAGCTCCTTTTTGTGATGCTTCATTGGGTTATTAAAATATTGATTGAATAATCTGAAATCTCCTACTTGTGAAAAGTTGGTTGCAACTAATCCTTCAATTCTTATTAGTTAATAATTCTGGAGATCAGCTCTTCTGCATGTTTTTCCCCTTGCTGGATTTTATTTTTATGTACCCTTCAGCCAATGAAGATGTGTTCAGATGAGCAAAGCATATAAAATGGAAGACAAATATGACTCCTGGACCTTTAAGAGCAACATCATAGTTGAAAAAAGAAGCCTTTAAGAGTCTTAGTTGCTTTGATCTACAAATTTCTCCACTCAGATTCTTTTTGCTGCCACCTTAGCTGCAGTTTTCTGACCTGATTTACTGCAAAAGTTGTGCCTTTTGACCATGTTGAATCACTCGTTTTTTATTTATTACTGTTATGAAATCCAATTACCCTATGTGGTGGTATACCACTTCCATGGAATTAAATATAAAAACTATATGATGTGTACAGATTTCCCCTCTTTCAAACTTCTTTTTTTAAAAGAGCTTGGAGCAATAAAGAGCACACTCCATAGTTCACTTTCCCAAATTATGTCCACCCTGGTCTAGCGCTGTTTCCTTTTATATATTTTTGTAGGAAGGTCAAAAGTCTGTGCATAGAGCTCTGTTCTGTAGTGGCTAGTAATGCGTTCACAATTAAGTAGGATGCAAAAAGTTGGAGCTATTCCCTGGAATAACAGGTTTACTTATATGAGCAGATTTTTAAAGTTTAGTTTGCTTTCTCATGGAAGTTGTAGAAGAACATTTCTGTTCCTCGGTGTGTGTGTGTGGGGGGACCCATAGCAGCTCCAAACCTCACAAGGGGTGGGCTATTAATGACACTATAATCAAAGCTTAGCTATGTATCTGCCTTGCCTGTGACACGGTAGTTTGAGAACTTACACTTTCTTTAACAGAGACCTAAAATTATCTGCAAACAGATGTGCAACAAAACAGTTTTTACAGCTTTTTTACCTCTATTATTAGGCTAAAATGCTGCACATGTATAGAGCTGATGCTTAGCTCTGTAGTTCTTCCTCCTAGTATGAAATCATTTGCTTTGTTTCCTGAGGTAATTCACCCTGTGAATATCTTTGTATAAAATATAAAATATCTGTCACTAGGGTTCCCTTGGTAGAGAGCAAGTGAAGGAAAGATGTGCCCCCCGTCCCATGTCTACTAGTTTGTAGTAGACTATAAACAAAGGTGTTCTCCCTGCGTCCACAGGAGTCTTAGGCGACATCCTGCCGGACGTTGAAACGAGGCTGACCCAGGGTCTGCTGGTGGTTGCTGCATGTTTTGTTCCCATAAGCGGCAGGAAAGCCTCTTGTGCGCAGGCTGCAGAGATGTGCACAGGGTTTTTCTTCTCAAATGCTTTCCCAAGTTGGCACGCAATGTATATTTCAGCTGGGACATAGTTGTTGTCTAAAAATAAGGCAACTTGCCTGAAATCGGCATCTTACTTTCTGTCTATATCTTCCACAACAGTGAGATTGTGATTTATGCTTTTTATTGTTACACTACAGAGCATTTCAATTTTCATTTAGAAGAAAAGATTGAAGTACCTTATTGTATAAGGCAACTTATACAATATACATGAAGGTGTGCAGATTACCTTTCAAAAAGTAACTGAATCAATTCCAAATCTCACTTTGGTCATATGGTACTGTGATCGAGGACAAAATGTGGTGCCCCCCACCCCCCACCCCAAATACTATTTCTCATTTTCACAATAATTCCTTTTGGTACAGTTTTTTTAAGGTACCTGTATAAATATAAAATTTGGCACTTCTTCGGCCCTGTGCAGGTTCCCCTACAGGCACCACTCTAAATCTGTCATTGTTCACTTGCCTGGGAGGAAACTACTGAACACAAGATGACTTGCTGCGGAATAGATATACCATATTTTCGCTCTATAAGACACAGTTTTCCCCTCCTAAAAAGTAAGGGGAAATGTGTGTGCGTCTTACGGAGCGAATGCAGGCAGGAGGCTCTGCTCAGTGCTCCCTTTAAAGAGCCGTGTGGAGCATGTGTGCGGCTCTTGGGGGGCTTTTCCTAGGGAAAAAGCCCCCAGGAGCCGCACAAACGCTTCGCACGCTCTTTAAAGGGAGCCCGGCTCTTGGGGGAGCCTTCCTCCCGCTGGCTTCTGGCTTAGCCACGCGCAGCCTCTCCCGGGCAGCGGGAGCCTTCATCCCCCTGCCTGGGAGAGGCTGCGCGTGGCTATCCCATAAGCCAGGACAGCAAGAGGCTATCCCAGAAGCCAGATCCCTCTTGCTGTTCTGGCTTCTGGGATTCAGAATATTTTTTTCTTGTTTTCCTCCTCCAAAAATTAGGTGCATCTATGGAGCAAAAAATACGTACGGTAGGATTGCACTGTCAGTATGGTTTCGTAGTCCTGGTTAAGTAAAATTTAAACTGGGTAAGCCTGCAATCCCATACGTATTTACCTAGAAATAAGACCCACTGAACTAAGTGGGATTTACTTCTGAGTAGGCATGTAAGTGATTTATTTTTAGTCAGCACTCTGGCTTTTAATCAGTTGGTTCCACTAAGTTGTATTCTAGTAATTATATTTTGGCAAATGTGTCTATTATTAATAAAAATATTATTACTATTATTAATGTCTCTGTGAAAACAAACCACTAGGCTGCAGCAAAAACACTTGGGATGGATCAACAACTTCATGAGCATCACAAGAGAGAGAGAGAAAGCATCTGTCTTGAATAGGAGAGGGAAAGGAGTGCCAGTTTTAAATTTCTGACAGTAAGTGGCAATGGGTGAGAGCTGTTGTGGGAGCTTGTCTGCAGTCTTACTCCCGAGCCAAGGCATCCTTGCAATAATCACTTTGCATAAATTGGATGGGAAAGCACAGAGACACATACTTTTTGCATAAATTACCATTTTATGGTTCCCACCCCCTTTTCAGTTCTGAAGTAGCACACTTTCTAACACCCCAAGGGAATATGGATTTCACTGTTCTAGGGAAGCAGATGAAAAAGCTAGTTATATTTATTTCACTGCTGTAGCTATATACCTGTAAACAGATTAGATCAGTATTCACTGTCAGTGTTATGTATTTCTAGGTTGCAAATACAGAAGAAAAGCAGATCCAAATGTCATTTGCTTATGTATAAAGCAGGACAGTCTTCTGATTTCATGTATCTCAGTGTTCATTTTTTCATTGGCCTGGTGTCCTCTACTAATTTTGTGTGTTCTCGTGGACACATCTTTGTGTCCCTAGCGTGATGGTTTACATGTCCTTGTATCTTAAAAATGCACTCCTAGATGTCTGTAACCAGAAGTAAGCCCATTGAAGCCAATGGGTTTGTGTAGGAATGCAGCCTACAATTCTTATTACTGCTATGTGCATACATGGTCCAATCTTGGGCAGCCTCTTTGTATGGCCCACAAATGCCAACCAGAATTCAAGCGCCTTGTTCTCCTTTTTAAGCTCCTGCTTCATAGACTCAGAA